CTGATTTTGACCAAATGAAACTGAAAACAGAAAGACCAGATACTACACGTAGGTCTATATGTAAGACACAGGGTATAGTGAGAGTAAGTGGTATCAAGAACAGTTACAGGCAAAGCAGATCTGTTTCTCTGTCCACATATGTAATGGATTATGAAGAAAATCTCCTTCTAATTACCAAGAAGAAATTCTGAAATTCTTTTATCATGGGGCACCTGCAGGCTAATATGTATGTTAAAGCATCTTTTTTCCTTTCACTGCAGACCTGTGAGCACCATTCCCCACAGGGCCATGTGAATCCTGCCGTCCAAACTGCACAGGCATGAGGGTGGCTGCTGAGGAGTGTCAGTTTACCTGCAGAGGGACTATAAGAGCCAAGTCTCAGCCAGTAGAAAAAATGGCAAAGCAAAAGGAATCGCTTCCAAAAGTAAATGGACAGATTAAACAGTTGGTAATTTTAATTTCATACCAGAAGAACTTGCCACATTTCTACCCAAATTTTGCAAGCTCATGCTCCTCAAAAATATGCAAATACTAACTTTTCTAACACAGGGCATTTATTTGAAGATGTGCAAAGCAAATTTTTATTCACAAAAGCCAACAGATTTCACACAGGTTCACAGTTCAAGCCAACACACCGTCCTCTACAATTTCAATTACAGTCCTCAATTCAGCAAGGTGTTATAGAACTTAATTGACACTTCACATTTCAGATTATATTTCACAAAGGAATGTGGTAATTATTTTTTATACTCGAAATCACAGGTTTCTAGTGGATTCTTCAATGGGTAAACAGTATGGCAGGAAGATACCAATGTAGCATAATGTGACCCACAGAATAACTCTACACTATGTAGGATAAAGAGAAGTAAAAATAGCAATATACTATGGACCATGGGGATGCATCAGGACAGGTACAGGTAGATATTTGCACCCTTTTTTTTTTTCATTTTCAGCCTCATTTTAGCAAGGCTAATGCAAGCATTATGAATTCCTAAGTGTGAGACAGGCCAGTAGTACTAGAAAAGTGATGGATCCATGTGTAGATATTCCTGAAGTACAAGTGCCAGCAGACCTTCCTCAGGGTTCAGGTGGAAGTTACTGTTCCTGTAGTGGGGGCAGAAGAGAAAAGGTGCCTGTACTTCAGTGTGCAAGATCACAGTCTTTGAAATTGGCAGTGGAGGTGGGTTTCTACTGGGACACCAGATCTTGAAGGTAGAAAGCAAGCAAGCAAACAAGTTCACTTCTGCTACTCTTGGGATGAAGTGCTAACAAGAAACCTAAGTGTGGGACAGATAGCTGTAGGGGGGAAATAACATCTTAATCCACCACTTCTGCTTGCTTCAGAGTACTTAAAGCAGAGCCTGAAGTCTGGTGTTTTGATACCACAGGAATTTATGCCTCCAGTAAGTGGAAATGAATCTCTGCTTCATAACTGCTCGCTGGGAAAAGGGATTTCTGGCATGACTGACCATGTCACATTTCCCTGGTAGGCAATTTCATTGAAGGATTCATGCAAAGAGTAGCCAAGTATTTGTATCTTGTATAACAGTTATTTGGCAGCCTTTTGATAGGGATCCTCAACCCAGCTGGAAGAGCACACATCCAGTTGGGCCCCTGGATTGGACAGTGATGATTGCTGGTGAGTGCCAGAGGCCAGTGCTTGCCTGCAGGGCTGGCAATCCTGCAAGTATCCTTCCTTGACCTGTTGGCAATTAGAAGCAGCAGAGTATCATCTGCAGCCAGCTGCAAAAGCCAGGCCTCAAGACCACTGCTGTAGTCTCTGGAGAACTTGTTACCATGACAGAGAGATGATGGATAGAGGCAGGACAAAGGAGAGTGCTAGCAAATTCCTTAATTGATGAACGATTGCTGTTATCATATAAAACAGGAACCCTCCAGCTTCTGCATGTTTGCTGGTAACTCAGCACTCATCCAGCTCCAACTTAATCTTGGCCATTCTCCCACCTACCCCACCCACAGCTGACAAGATTTCTGCAGTTTTATAACCTAATCCCACTAATGTATGAGTCAGAGTATCGCTTATTAAAACAAAAAAAAGGTGTGTGGTCATACAGACAATTACAGAATGCATGGTAAGGTGGTGCTAAGACAGTAGTAGTTATAAAGCTATTGGGCTGTGTAAACGCAGAGATTAATTGCTCCTTCCAAAACCAAATTCAACATAAATAATCAAATAACTCACTAGAAATAAAGAAACCTGAAATGGTCAATGACAACTGTGTTTTGCACTTTCCTGGGACCATCTGCTTCTAGGAAAGGCTAACAGCACTTTGAACTGGAACTTATTCAGTGTTATATAACTGGAAACCAGGACACTGTTACCCTTTCTATTTTGGGCAAGTTAACCAACAAATGAGAAAGTAACAAGTTTCTTGACTGAGTGCCTACCAAAAAAGCCAACTGCAAATCAGAACATTTACTGATAAAATTATGAGCCCATGAAAATCCAAGTTTATAAGAACTAAGTTATTTACAGACTTGAAATAACAACATTCATCATTTTAATGCTTTAACAGTGCAGATGGGCATTAATTTTCCATTCTTAATATGAGACACAACACCATGTGTCTTTAATATAAATGCAATGTATACATACATTCAGCTAGAGTGTTGGTCTATTCTTACATTTTGGATTCAAACCTAAGTCATAACCAAAGAAAAAGTGAATGAATAAAAATGCAGTCAAGGTGATGATGATACAAAAATCGATCATTTAACACAATCTAAGCACTTACATGTAGGATCTAAAAAGAACAAAAAGTTTTCTCTATTAATGGTTTCAGGTAATCCTGTATCCAAATATTTTCCCTAATAAACATTGGATTATTTTTATGTTGGCTATAAAGCTGTCACTCCTCAATAAACAGATATGCTCCTGGTGGGTTTATCTCTGCAGTCAAAGATCTTTTCAATTTACGCATCATCTCCTATGCAAAACCAGAGTGGCTGGGATGCAGGGCTCCTGGTGGATCCAGCTGAGCAGAGGTTGCTCACCACCTGAGAGGGTCTGTGCCACTGCAGCCCCTGCACAACTGGCAGCAACTGGACGCAACCAACACAAGTTCACAAAAGCCCTGAAGTTAATACTGTGCCTCACTTTTATAGAAAACTGTGACCTTTTATGCTCTGCTAGACTGAGAGCCTTCCTTTAGCAGGTCTCAATTAAATTTTATGTTTTGTGGCTCTCATTTTCTTGTAAGACGAGAAAAGAGTTCAAGGGATGGATCCTTCTTTGAAGAATTCAATTCCCCATGGAGAAAATTTATTTCCACATAAAGAGTTACTCAAAGTTTGGGGGAAGGGAGCTTTTGCAGGACTTTTTTTCTGTGATGGTTTGTTATTTTGGCTGGTTGGTTTGTTTTGTTTGGGCTTTTTTTTATCTGTTGGGCTTTTTTCTTTTTTTTTTTTTTTTGTTAAGAAATTTCTGATATTTTGTGAAGATAAAGCAGTATTCAGATTTTTTTAAAAAGACACTATTCCATTAGTTGTTAGACTGGAAATATTCCCTCTGTCCTCTTCATTATAATGAGGGGAAAATCCGATGGATGCTCAAAGAAATCCTGGACATTGTTTGTAATGAAGCAACTTTCCATGAAATCATCAGATTGCTACAGTGATCCTGTGGCAACATAATACTATCTAATTTTCAGTAAGAGGCATTGCAGCAAATGAAAAAATTGCATATGTATTCATAAAAGTGGTAAGTACTTCCTAGGCTGATTCTGCATACTTAACCTCAACATAACAATGACAGAGAATTAAGGTGTTGGGAAGTGTCCTACCTGAACTGAGCTCCAACATTCTAGCTCACTGTAGCTGCTACTATTGAAAATATAAATGAGCATAAGCAACATTCCCAAATGTAAACATTTTCTGGAGCAGACCATTTGTAATATTTCTTTTCCCACTGTGTTCCTTTATTTAATTAGTTTGTTTTGTAGTCAAATTGACATAAAATCACATATACCAGTAGGGAATTGTGATTGCTGGTGACAGATGCTTAGAATCTTTACAGTCAATGTACACCTAGTTAGATATTTTAGACAATCAGTCTTAAAATGCCAAAACTGAACAAGGTACTGCATAATGCTAATATGAAATAAATATGGGGTATGAATTAATTTCTTATACCCTTCTCCAAGATTTACACACCTGAATCTGAACACCTCATAAATTGTTTTTGTTTGTTTGGCATCTAAGTACAAAGCCCTTTCTTGACGCTCTCTTCTGCATATTTTTGTGGTCACTCAAGGATGGGGTATCAGGATGTTAGCTCTAGCCTGACACTTACCTCGATTAAAGGCTAGTTCTGGAACAATTCCTGTGGATAACAGGTTTAACTTTAAGTATCAGATCAGTCCCATTACATTCACTGGTTTTAACTGGACTGCTCATAAAAGTAAATGTATATTTAAATGCCTTTCTGGATCAGAAGCCAAGTCTCTTGAAGGAGCTCAGGCTTGAAGCAGTGTTATCTGCTGAAGCCAGTATGATTCAGGTGATAAGAACCATAAATCCATAAATTTTCCATATTCTGTCAAACTCAAAAGCTGTGGAATTTACTCACTTAGGTCATGGACACCTTGCCTACCGTAGCTACTTGGAAACAAATACTTCACTGAACTGGTAATGGCTGAGGTTGATCTAGTTCAACCAGAGCAAGGAGATAGAAGAGCCTAGGTATTGCACTCAGCTGGTGCGGGCATCCTGCTCCCAGTACCAAAGCAGAGTTTGCCCCAGCATCACTGCAGAGCTGTGCATCCTGGTCTTTGAACACATCCTGATAGCAAAATTTGGTACTGTGAGTACCAAAGTACTACCAAGACTTTTTAAATTGTGTTCATTATGTAAGACTACATGGTTGCCAAAATTGTGGCAACTGCAAAAAGAGTGGAATACAAAGAGGATCTAATGTCTGGAAAATGGGTGATTAAAAAAGGTCACATACAATTGACAATTTTAAAAACATATACTCTTACCCTTCTCGCTGGAAAATAGTCCTAAAACAGTCCCCCAGGCTCTTGTAACTGGTCGGATCAGTTTTCCCTCTTTGAATTTGGAACCTAAAAAAATACAATTTACATCACAGCATGAGAAGCTAGGGATTTTAGGTCACTTTAAACTTTCCAATTATTATGTAAAAGGAGTTTTAAAAGGGTTTTTTAATGTATCTGATTCATTATTATATACAGTTCCTGATATACTTATTAACACTGTTTTCACAGAAGCTGTTAAACTAAGGAAAAATAGACCTTTAGTAGTAACTCTTTTTGTAGTTTATGGAACTCACAGTATAGCTATCACCTTTGACATTTACACCTCTTTCTAGTTGTTTGAAAAATAGACTGTTAACCCTCTGCCTGATCCAAAGTCCATTGAAACTAGTAGAAGTCTGAGTCAAACCCTGTTTTTGAAAATCTGAAATGGAATACTATCACGTATTTCACAATGAAATGAATCCACTGTGCAGTTTCTTTCTTTTTATATCTGATGCAATTACAATGAAAATCAACCAGAGACATGACCAGAAATTAGAGCACCATTCATTTGTCATAACTGAATTATAAGATGAACAATAAAAGAAAGCAATGAATTATTTTAATTAAAACCTTGTTTTCTCTATTCACATTTTGACAACAATAAAGATTTCAACAGGAAGCTTGTGGCCTTTAAAGGAAAATCAAGATTACACTTTAAGATTGTAAACATCCTATTATTTATGATTTATGGATAACAACAATAAGTTTAACAAACTATGTTATTTTACAAAGTATCTCAGTCAGATTAACCTGTTTCTTGTGGTTTTAAAACTGCAGCCAACACATTCAACTAAACAGTACAGAGAAATTTTGATATGTTTTTAGCAATAACATTTCTTTTTAAACTGCTAATTACTGTATAGCACTCACAAAACCAGAATATTGATGTTAGCAATTACATTGTGCAATAGCACTGTATCTGGCAATCACTAAGTTGGCATTATCACTAAGTATAATAATAATTTCAGGAATTTCAAGGAATAACTGACATAGTCAAGTACATCATATGCCACAGGTATGTTGCTGTTCTGAGAAACATCTGTTGCTACTTATTCTAATGATTATCCTGCATCTTATTAATATGTAACAAAAAAAGGTATTTTTAACTCCTTGTTAAACAGCAGTGTTCTCCTCCTCAACATAATTCAGTCGGGTCACATTGAGGTTTGTATTGTGGCAAAAGGCATTCATTGTTTTGAACATCAGTATTTCCTAAGCTGTGTTCTGTGCTAACAGATCTAACATTTTATTCACTCTGAGGAAAAAATTTCCAGTGATGTAATACAATTCTTCAGGCAATTATGAAGGCAAGCCCACACCTTTTTTGAAAACAGTTAGAAGGAAACACTGAACCCCTCCATAGTCCTAATAAAAGTAGTTCAGGCACATCTGGGATCTCTATCTGGGGTAACCTCTTTTATTAGCACTCGAACTTGCTGCCAACTTGGCAGAGAGGAGAATGCTATTCAATAGGCTTACACTTAAATAAGAGCTGATGCATAACATTTTGTCTGAAAAGAACCCATGGGAAGGCTAATAGCTGTAAATGCCTCAATGCCATCCCACGAAGTCCAACAGTAATACCAGCTACAGAAGCTTTTACATTGTGGCCATCAAGCAATCAAAATCATAACAGAAAGGAGATTCTCTGAACATTTTGATATATGTAAGACTTGACTTTTCACACCCTTCAGCTCAGAAAAAAAATTGGCTTGTTTTTGTTTAAAGAAATTATGCAAAAACTTATCAGTAAATGAAGTTTTAAAAAAATATATCTTCCTTAATGCAAACTCTTTTCCTCAAGTTTCAAGATTTGGCCTGCCTGTAAACTCAGAACAAAGCATCACTGCTTCTAAACCATCCTTCGAATAATGTGCCTTCCCTCTCTTTCACACAGCAAAAGCTCAGGCATGTTCTACCAGCACTTGTGCTGTGTTCCCCACTAAGTCACACACACACAACCGTTTGTAAAACTCGGGCTTTAATCCCAGAGTCACTGTTGATCTCAACAACATGCTGAACACACTTCACATAATTTTGTTTTACAGTTACACAGTGTTAAATTCTCAAAAAAATTTTTAATAATTTAATACAAAGACACCTTGGATAGCAATAATGAAAATAATGGCAGAAGAAATGCAATAATACCATACATAATTCATGTGCATCAGATGAAGGATAACTTTTTGATGAAGAAGTTAAATCAAAGGAGGCTTATATTTGTCTCAGTTTTTCTTGTTTTAACATAGATAAAGCTTTAGTATTAAATGAGTCCATTTGTAACACTGAGTCACACAAGTAACATATTCTTTCCTCTAGGGTTTTTGGATCCATTCCTTCCCTAGTAAATCTTTTTTATAGCTTTAACAGCGATCCTAAAATACATGCCAATTATGTGCTTCAACCTAGATCTGCAAATTGGGTCCTTTGATTCAGAATTGCTTGCCTCAATAAAATAATGTGTAACTTTTTAATGAACTAACTAATTGATCACCCGTAGTTGTTATAAGAAGCTCAGGGAAGAGCTGAAAAAATGTTTGTTCGTTTTTTTGGAGGCAGCAGCAGCAGTCTGCATTAGCAATCCTAATAATACAGAAGAGTGAAAGCATTCACTTCAAAAAACAACCTGGCCTGTTTTTAATGATTGTTTAGAGGAATGAACACAAATGGGGGAGATATAATGGCTTTCTCTGCTTCGAATCCATTCCTTTCTAAATCATTATAAAAACCACTGAATTTCATGCATTTTTGAAAGCTGGATGCCTGCCTTGCATGTTGTTAGCTTTGCTAGAACAAAAAAAAAGGATAAATTTTACTATAAATATAATGCGAGCAATAACTTCTCATCTAATTTATTATTCTTAAGTCTGAGAAGAGGAACGTGCAGGCAGCATTCTCAGAGGTGCCAAACAGCCATGTGGGCAGAGAGGCTTTTCCAGGACTGAGATGAACATGAGCCTCTCTACTAGCACACAACAAGCACCAGAAGTCACTGGCCATTTCCACATGGTCCGTGTTTACTTTAAAAATGATCATCAGGCTAATTTGTGTTCCCTCTCATTTTGCTATTTCTTGGCTTTCTGGCCAAAAGGCTGTGGTGCCAAGCACTCCCACCCTGGGACTGCTCATAGAGTCTTGGGAGGCACTTTGGTTCCCAGATTACCTCTTCCTATCCAGGACCTCCTGCCTCCTCTCTCAGCTCCTCCTCACAGCTCCCACCTCCAGCCCCCACGCCACCGGGGACCTCGCAATCTCCCATTCTGGCTCGTCGCAGCAGCCCACACGGCTCTGACTGATCACAACCTTTGCAAATTGCTTGGTTTCATGCAAAAGTGCCCTGATATTGTGAACGAAAAGAATATCAGTGTCCTTTCCTGTTCACCTCAGAAGACACATGGTTGGGATCTCAAAAAGCAGAAATCACACAAAACCATGTGAGGTTTTGAGGTTTGTTCAAAAGGCAGCACCTTCCTTGAAAACTCTGCATGATCTAAAAATGTGGAAATATTTCCACTTATCTACACTAATCAGCACTACAAATTATGAAATGAATACCTCTGAATTATTAGTGTTTTGATAGCATGAGAGACAGCATTTTTAATGGTTTTAACAGCCCTTGATTAATAACAGTTTGTACCTGAAATACCACAATACAGAAGACGCTTGAGTCCTTTCATCAGTCTTCTGAACCACTGACTTTAATGAGTGATATGCCATGTTGTGGAGCAATGACTCTACATAAACACACGTATCTGTTTCCAATGACTAACTTACAGTTCTTGTTGGTTTTATAATAGTCAGTGTTTTATTCTGAGTTTTATAAAATCCTCAGTTTACAGGATACTTTCCTGCCTCTCCTCCTATTGCAGAAGTCCTCTAACTAGTCTTTTCTAACATAGTCAATATCTCCATGAGGACAAGCAGATATGTGTGTGCTTTCTGAAAAATAAAATAAAATAAGTTATCTCTCTCTTTAATAGTTGTTAAATTTTTTTTCAAGCTTGCTGAACATCTCAAAGTTGTTTTGTGGATGTCTGCCACTACAGCATCCAGGTGTTTCATGTTTAAAGTCTGTTCACCGCAATGTTACCTAGCAATCCTCTCCCTTTTGTTTATTGATCTGGGCTGGAGAAAGATTTCCAATTCATGCTGAAATTGTTTTAGTTATCTTAAAACCTAAAAGGAAGAAACCAACATTTTCATACCTAGATTCAAGTAGATAGTGAGCAGTTAAATCCCAGCTATGTACAACAAGCACGATGCGATGTGAAACAGACTACACTCACCAAATTCATGCCACTGGGTTTGCAAAGAATTCACACGTAAATTCCAGAATTTCTTGCTGCTTTTATACAGTGCTGCTGACTAGTTCCTTAGCCACAAAGTTCAGAGGGAAAGAAAAACACTGACTCAGGAGGCCAGGCTTTACACCATGTTGCAATGCTTGCCAACAAGTGGCAGTCTTAGCTGTATTTTCTTTCTCTTCACATAACTAACTAGAATTTTATTGTATGTTCTACTCAACTCTGGATAAAGCTCCTAATATTTCCCTCCATGACCAGGACAGTATCAATGCAAATAATCTCAGGTACTGAGGTCATTAGATGCTATTAAGAAAATGACAGAGTTACCTGGCATAACAACAAACCAAATAAAATGTTACATTTTGAATCAACTTTTAAATAAATGTACAGCCTATGGAAAGCTCAAAACATTTATAACTTTTTTGCACTTTTAGTAATTCCGTGATTCCACTTCTAGCTGTGCTTACCCCTACTAGCATAAATTGACAAAAATAACTACATTATAATTAATTTTATTTATTTATTTATTTGCTAACTTAAACGTTTATTCAGGTTCTACTAGTAGTTAGTGATATCTACGGATACTTAGATTTCATGCAAAAATTTGCACGCATCAGAAAATGGATCTTGATAATATAATTTATTTCACCTTTTGGTTCTTTGAGTTGCTTATGTTACTTATAGGATAATAACTAAATTGACAGTATAATTCTATCACTT